TTGAAAAATATCAAAAGAAATTCATCCATTTCACTTAATTATAAAAAGGAAATACAATCGTTGTACTGATGATCATATTATGCTAAATTCCTCCGTAAATGAAAATCTTGGTTTCTTCAAAGTAAGGAATGTTTTTTGCCAATTAATCTTGTAATGAGTAATTGGTGACCCTTTGATGTTATGACTTAAATGTTACGAATCGCATTATATTGTAGGTACGTTCTTGTTATATGTGAAATTCCTCAACAATGGATTTACTGGCTAACATTTTTAGAATTTCGAATGGGAAATATGAATTGTTTGTCAACATTTTTGAAGTGCACAATTGAAAATAAGAAAAAACCTATTATTAACATTGAGCTTCCACCATAGGCACTGTTGGTGTTTTTTTAGGTATACAAATTTAGTAAACAAACAATTAATTGACGCTTTTCAAGATGCGGACTACTAGCGCTACAATCAGCGGTTGTAGGAACTATGTCCTATAATACCGACAATGTTAAGCGCATTTCGCTGAATTTATCATCAACTCTTTGAAAATTGATATAACAGAACTTAGAACCACGTAGGGCCTACATAATAATTGAATCACGTAAAAATATTGGAAGGGTGTTTTTTATTAAACAATTGAAACCCAAGTGGTTTATCACAAAATATGTTGTTTAAAAAATAATCTTCATTGAATTTAAAATTAAGCGGTCCTTTATATGATACTGCTAGATCGTATCCAGATGTTTTTTTCATTTTTTTTTTTGGATTTTTGTTTTTGAGATTTTCAAAAAACATAAAAAACAAAAAAAACTGATTTTCTAAAATCAGTTTGAACGATTTGTTATGAATATTCATAACTCATTTAATTGTAAACAAAATGGCTTAACACCCATTTCTGTAAACATTTTGTTTCAAAAGTTATTGAAGATTTTTTTAATATTCCCTCTATAAACGTAAAATCCGATTAAGAAAACGTCTTGATCGGTTTGGATTCAGATTTAGTACTGTATTTTGTAGTCTTTTAAACTCTAAATTGAAACATACAGTCCCATTCCCTGTAAGAATAACGGTTCAAAAGTTATTGCAACATCTGTAATTTCCTCCAAAAAATCATAGTCACTCCCCCTGCATACCCATGATAATGGTTGTTGACAAGCTAAGGGTAGAAAGTATGTGTCAGATTGCTGATATCATTTATTTTTTGGAAAATAATCTTCAGTTTATTTTCTAAAGAACCTTAAGAGATTGTAGTAGAAAACGATAATCCTAATAGCTGGAAATGAACAAATCAAATTGAAATTTAGTAAATGAAAATGAAGTTATAACAAAGCTCAATTGTAGTTGTATTCATCAAAACTCACCCTAAACTAAGTTTAGAACAGTTAACTGTAATTTAATGTGCGCAGCAGTCGGGTCAGTTAGTTCAAGTGTATTAACTCTGTGTGTATTTAATTGTTATGGCTTATACCTTTGTTTCAAAGCCCTTCCAGTCTGTTCATACAATAAATTTCAAACCAACTAGTTATTCCGAAAACTACTGTGCCCTATATGCATGATATTTCTATATACGGGGAGCAAGGTTTTTATTAATTTAATTTCAAAAGTGCAATCGTTATAAATATTAAAATGACCCTTCCAACTGATTCTATGTGTTCCAAAAAGGGTTAAAAAAAGGTTTCAACCTACGATTCATTGTCCAACTAGAATAATACATAAGCAATCGAAAATAATTCAACAGTTTGTAGAGTTTAAATTAAGTTAAAAAAACTGTCTGTTATGTTTTGCTTAAATATATATGCATGTTTATGCTTTGTTAAATTGTAAAGAATTTATTTTATGCATAGTTATATGTAAAACAATAAAATACTGAGAGTTGCTTGTCCTCGTCACTGAAACAGTAAAACGCACAGAGTAAATTTGCTTTATAAAGGAGAGACATTTAGTAATGAACAGCCTACTAAAACATAACAAGTGATACATCACATATAAAAAAGGTATACTTCTGATTCCCGATGTAAAGTTATATCACGGTGCTACCAGTTTTATGTCCAAAACGTTTTCAAATGTCTATTTTTTTCAATTATCTGTGATAATAAAGCTTAATTGTGTACTACTTAAAGTAAGTACAAACTATTTTCAAACTGCTCGTTTTACTTTCACTGTCTAAAATTTTGTTAAGGAAATTTTCATTGATAATTTTGTTAACTTCTTAGTACTTACTTACAGTATACCTAACAATAAACATAATTTCACAATACGAAGTGTTTCAAGCTTTCTAAATGTGTGCCTTATAGGCACAAGAAAATTATGAGGTTATTAAATACTTAAATAGCTACAGGCAAACCGTATAACTTTCCGCAATGAAGTTATAAACTCCGCTTAAATGCATCCAGCAGTTGGCGCGAATAGTTTAAATTAGTTGACTTTGGGTGTATTTGAGCGGGGGTTTAAATTTGACCCGGCCACCAAGTTTATAGTCGACTCCAGCGGTGCAGCAAACTAAACCCCCTTTGTGCCTTTGGTCATTTTGTATTCTGGCGAGTAAACCCTATTCAAATTAATCTTGGCTGACTGTTCTAAGTTACCTTTTTATTAATTCTTTATTCGAGACAACATCCTCTATAGTAAATTTCATTAAAAAGATAAGGGAAATTTTTTTATTTGTTTGTTAGAAAGTACGAATAATAATGATTATTGTAAATCTAAAATCGTGTATATCGTAAATATTTTTACGTCTGTAAGGCTTCTGTCAGTTTTAATAATAAAAAAACAAATAGCACAACAAATTTAGAGTAGAAACATCAAAAACATTCTAACTCCAGCTATTATGGTCTGATTTATTAAATTTAGTAAGAATTTAAGAAACTGGATTACCTGTGTCGACCTCACAAAACAGTAGGGTAAAGTTAGCCCATAGTAATGGGTGCTTTTCTCATTTTTCTAAAATAGATCTTTCTAATCATAACCCTACGAATGCCCAATGTTATTACAATCATCGTGCACACATCATAGTACTAAATAGAGCATACTAACTATTTTATGATAACTTTGAAATTGTTTGGATCATACTGTTTAATCGCCCACAGAGAACATCATACGAAACACCTTGAAGAAACCAGCGAAATCTGTTTATAAGTTCATAACACCAATTGTAAATATGGATATGCGTTTTTCTTTATTTATGGCAAATTTGTTCATAAGACGAGGGAAAACTTAACATTTGTAGACATAAATAAACCACCAAATAATCATAATCCATGGAGTTCAAAGAGTGCTATAATTCATTGAACATTAACATTTTGAGTCAAAGACAATTAAGAAGCTCAGCTTTGGCATAAAGGCCAAACTGCTCCGTAAACTTTGGCACAACTCGCGTCTAGAGTTTCCGCTCAACCGCATCCGTAGAGCATTGACATTCAAAGTTTATAATCGTTTTGGTGTGTTTACAAATTTGAGCTTTACCTCAAGCTTCGGTCATTCTAGTGAAATGTTTTGTATTACAATACTTAACGTGTTTTTTTATACATTTAACAAGGTAAAGTGTGAATAATTACTTGTAAATAACTTTTTTACTATAATTTTACGTCTTGGCGTTATACTGAAATAACACACGTTTTTTAGTATTGTATCAACACTTTGGCGTGATTTGTCAAATGTAATCGCCATTCTAACATATTATACAAACATTTATTTTCTTGATTGTGTAGTTACATAAAGAAAAGTTGGAAGACATACTCATAAACTAACCAATACAAGAAGACTTGTAGACTTATCATCCCACTGTAAATTTTGAAGCTCGTTTTTGATGTCTAGTTCATGTCCGGTGACACTGGTTGCTAGTGACAACGAAGTTTTGTATCTATTATTTTAGAGTTAATTTCATGATTTGAGCGTTACTGTTTGGTTATATAACTAGAGGATGATTTATTGTTTATGATTAGATAGTTTTATTTCGTTAATTGGGGTTTTAAAAGACTGAAATAACAAGAAACACATTGTAAACTAAACACAACCTCTACAGTGCACCGAACAGAACTAACGATAAAATTGGCTTCTTCTGTTCCATATCTACTAAGGGAGTATGTTTTATCTATGACATATTTTATTATGTTTTTATAAATACAAGTTGGTTATTAAGTCTCTTCCCCTTATGTTTTTCTATAATTTTATATAAAGTTATTTACAATAGTAGGATTTATTGTATGTTCAATGTACATACTCTAATTTTTGTAGTCATTTGTAAATTCGGGAGTTACCTGAGGTCTAAGATTTAGGAATTGGCTTCCAAATTCCTGAGTCGACCGCCATTTTGTGAGGAGCTTAATAATAATGACTAACCCTCCTAAACAATTGTGCAGTAAAATCTTAAAATATTAGTACTGTTTAAAAAAAGGTATAAGTTGGTTTTAGGATTGAAATGAGAGGCTAGGCAGGTGACATGTCAAAACCTACTTTCCACCATCAATACAGGGGATATTATTTTTTATGTTTCCACTGTATGCATTCTTATTGTAGGCCTATATATCACACTCAAACTCCGACTTCAGACAATGTCCGAAATGTTTGCTACCATTGCAATATGGATCGTGTCAAATACTCATGTCGTGGAGTAGGCATTATATTCGGACATTGACCGAAGCAAAATGCCCAAAACTGATCTACCCAGACTCGAAAACCCGCCCTTATATATTTTAACACAAATTCACGAAGGTAAAAACTATTAAAATAAGATGATGGGGTAGTTTCGGTAAGTTAATAAGTGTAACAACTTTCTGTAACAGTAAACAGCTTATCATTCAGCCAAACCATTTTGCCATAATTTCAGCTTAAATATAAATAGTAAATAATATGTAATGGACATAAATTATGTAATGGACTCAATGATATTTCACTAATATTTCAACAATACAATACCACTAACTACAATGAAAAGTAATAGTAAATTAATGTAATCTGTTAAGAGTTTAAATGTAGCCATTTAACAATCAGATGATCTAATGGCTCTGCATTACAACTCTGTCCGCATTTAATTGGCAGAATCAATCGGTTAATGGTAAATCCCTGGTGAACAACAGTTGGTGAATGATTCGGAAAATGAGGTCAATATTCAAACCAGTTTATCTGTTTCTTTTAAATTGTATCCAATCCATTTATTCCATATACCCTCCATTGGACACAGGTAAGTTAAAAATGTTCATTATTTAGTCACATATATTAAATTTCTTTATGTATTGTGTACATATGTATTGGTACAAGGCACATAGCTTGTATTTAATTTATATATATAGGTCTACTCTCAAATAAGTTAAGACCTTTTAGTTTTCTTTTTAATTTAGTTTTATTTTCATGATGGTGTGTTTGTAAAAAGAGTTGTGTAACTAGAGGATAAAAATATGTTAGAAATCCATTCGGAAAACTAATTCTTTAAACTTACTTTATATGGTTCTTTGTTGTACTGTATTTTTAAGATTATAAAATAACATGAACATAGTGATTTCAAATGTAACATACAAAAATGTAAAGCACTATTATACACAAATAGCTGCATTGAGGATATTGAGCATAAATACCTCTGCCATAGCAAACCTGCAGACTAAGCGAATTTCCATTTGCCTGATTGGATTTTCACTAAACTATCTCCTTGATAGTGTCATATTTATTTTCCATCTAAATAACATTACTAAATAACATGAACAAGCAAACTGCAACAATTTGCTTATTCTCCCTAAGGAAAACATTACAGGGAATTTTAAATTACAGTATTCCCTACATGGGAAATTCGCTTAAAGTATATAATCAATGTTAGCAACCAAGGTTTACCGTTAACCTACTGTAGTCTATCAATGCAGGTAATTACAATATTTTACTTATTCAACCTGTTACATAACTGTAAAAATCAACACACTTGAACCTATTTCTTGTGGTCATATTTCTGACATCTCAAGGGGGCATGGGCCCAACCCTACCCTCTGACCACAACACTTAATATAAATTTGTATAATCATTGTAGTCAAAGAAACTTTTTCATGTTTAGTCGTTGAATATGTTTTATGATTAAGATTGTGTATTTTTTCAGCCATTTCCCCTACATCCGGCAAACTTGATGGTTTTGAAGCCTGTTATTCTTTACACGATGTTTTAGCCACTTTTGACATGCCTCAGGTAATGGTGTTTTAGAAATGATATTTTATTTATGAAAACTTATCAACAGTGATTCAATATAATCATTGACTTTAAGTATAGGCCTACTTGTAGTTCTATTGTGAAATCTGGAGATTGTTTCAGTATATCCTATGTTCTTCATGACCGGTATAGCATAAGCAGGATTTTGTTTTGGTTACTGTGTGAGTCCAATAAAAACTGAGATCTTGATAATATTAATTATTATGTTTATATGATGAGAAAGAATTTGATCAAAGGAAGCATACTATAATGAAGTCACTGTAATGTATAGCAATCAAGGGGTTAGTCTAACGATTTCACTCAATGGCGGTTCCAAGGATGGGGTGCTATAGGGGCTCAAAGTCTCCATATTATTTGACTTTGGAAATATAAGTTTAAATATACATTTCTTCATAAAAACGTGACGGCAATTTTTGGGCACAGTTCTAGACGTTAGTAGTGGTGAACTAGCAAAGATACCCCACTTTAGGCACGTTTTCCCCATAAGAATAACATGGGGATCATTTTTTGGCCACCAATTCCAAAAATCCTGATCTTTGCCTAAATATCCCTATATAATTGTTAAACCTTATTTCTTACTTATTCCCTATATATATTTGATATTAAGCAAAAAAAAAATTATTGACCCATGCATGTGTATATGTATAGTAGTATAGGTTGTCGCCGCCGTTTTTTGGGGGTCGAGGTTTTTGAGCCAACTCCCCGCCCATGCCTAATTGCTAGTACATCTAACATTCCCCTTTCTAGTTGATATGTTGATATGTTGTAGTCTATATTTCTGTCTTATCTATATATATATTAGTTGTATGAGTTGTTTAATATTTTCATTTCTTTGTCTTTTGGGATATACCTCTTAAACTTACTCTTGGGCCTATACAAGCCTATATAAATGTACAACTCCATATCTATATTGTATAATTTCAAATCCATCTCCAACACCCATTCACATGTATATTCTCAAAATCATCAACTTGACAGTGCGAGGTTTGTACGTGAACTCGGTCGTGCTCCCGGCTCATGGCGCGCCCCCTTGGACATCCTTAGTGGAAATCCATGAGTTTTGGCTACTTGGGAATCCAAGCCATTTGACATACAATAAATCACCCTTCCTTCTAATTACCTTTTCTATCAAATACATGTCTTTATACTTGGTCTTTAACAACTCCTCTGTATAGAAGCCTCCTCTGATTATATTGCCATTTTCATCTTTCAAGATATAAGTCACAGGCTTTGTATTCTTAACTTCTGCTATTGTAAATAGTTCCCCTGTCCAATTCGGATTATAACCTTTACTAAAAACATGTTTATACTTGGAAATCCTCACACTATCACCTACCTTATATCTTGGCTTTTTAACTTGCACTACTTTAGAAGTCTTTTCATGCAACCTCTTATGCACATATTTACTATTCTTAATATTCACTTGGTTAGGCTTCATTCCTATAGATCTATGCACTTTATTATTATATTTTCGAATTAACTTTGGAAGTAAATCCAACCATTTATAACTTCCCTGAGCACTAAATTCCCTATATAACCAATTCTTTAAAGTTCTCTGAAACCTCTCCACAATTGCAGCCTTTGTTGTAGAAAAAGTGTGATAGTGATTAATATTTAAGTTTTTCATTAGTTTGCTAAAATATTGATTAAAAAATTCTTTTCCATTGTCAGATTGAATGTTTTTAACCCCCTTTGGTAGAATTGTTTTAATGGCTTCTGTAACCACTAACCCTGTCTTATTCTTTAGTGGAGCAGCATAAGCTTTTTTAGAAAATGTATCTATTAAAGTTAAAATATATTTATTGCCAGAATTCTCTCTAGCATAGTTTTGCATATCAATTAAATCTATTTGTATGGTTTCGTTTATACCCAATACTTTAAAAGACCTTCTAATGAAATTCTTTCTTGCAGGCTTATGAAGTTCGTATGCAATTTCATTCATTTTTTATAACATCATCCTTTCCTGTAACTCTAAATACATCACCATTAGCCCCAATCAATAGATTATCTTCCATTCTTTTAAATACATAGTTTTCTGGTATATATGGTCTATTATCTATATACTTAAATCCACTCAAAGATGTGGGGTCAGCAACTAATAAATCAGGATTATATTCCATCAAATTAAAATGTTTTTCTCCATATACAAATTTTGATCCATCGTAATGCATAGATTGTGACATTAGACAAATATCATCCAAATGTTCCCCCTCTGGTAGATTTCTTATAAATTGTTTTTTGGCATCCCAACATTTGTCTTTTTTATCAAAAGTTATAGTCTGTTCTTTTATAACACAGTCAGTTTCATCAATGGCAGGTTTAACACGTACTAACCTTTTACTATTAAAACTCCAATAGCCTGCTTCCATTTTTGGAACTTGTGAAACATTCACAGCATCTTTACTATCTGTACCTTCCATCAAATTACTAATTTTCTGTTTCTTTGCATTCCAAACACCATTCTCTGATTTAAAAAATTCATAATTATTATCGTCTTGTACAAATTTACCATCTTCTTTTCGTATTAAAGTCTGTTGTAAAGTGGGCACATCATCTAAACTTTCACCCTTTTCTACATTAGTAATTTTCCGTTTCTTAGCATTCCAAATACCATTCTCTGATTCTAAAAATTCATAATTATTATTGTCTTGTACAAATGTACCACCATCTGTTCGTATTAAAGTCTGTTGTAAAGTGGGCACATCATCTAAACTTTCACCCTTTTCCACATTAGTAATTTTCTGTTTTTTAGCATTCCAATTTTTATTCTTAGATTCTAAAAACTCATATTTAGTTTTACCTTGTAAGAAGACATCACCTTTTCTAGTTAATGTCTGTCCCAAAGTTGATACATCATCTACAAACTCCCCATCTTTAACATTACCAATTTTACGGTTTAAACCATTCCAACACATAATCTTGTCCAAAATTATGTCACATAATCCAAGACATAATCATAGTCTTGTAAATTTAAAGTAGGTTCACTACTAGCCCTGGGTTCTGCAGGCTTATTATATGGATTATATAAACGATAAAATTTATCTATAAACATATTTTTATTTAATAAATAATTCCACTTTCTCTCAATTCCTCAATAATGGAATCTATTTCATTATCCACTCCTGAGTTACCGGCTTGGCGACTTAGCCAAAGAAGTCTTAACCTATCTACAAGCTCATTAGGATCATCCCAATAAATATAGTCACTTGTCTCAAACCTTCACCAACAGATTTAAAAAGAGGTTTAATTATATTAAGATATTTAGTATGTCTATTACTTGAAATTGGTGCACCATCTTTGTAACTCTTTAAATGTCCATTTGTAGCTTCCAAAATTTCTTTATAATTTTGCAAATCAGCCGGAGTATAATCCTCAGGTTCTTTTAAAGTTAACAATTGCCACAAACCTTTTGTCCCCTTGTAGGTTTTATTTGCAATTGTAACATCATCATTGGCAATATCAACTTCCTTATTTCCAATAAAAAATTTATTTGCTTCTCGTCTAATACCATGTGTAGTGTCTGTCATACTACTTTTACTGAGGTAATTTCCTAAATAGTCTGAGGCTAAAAGACCAAAATCTAATTTCTGTGGAGTAGATTGTTGTAATGGTTGCAATCTTGGTATTATTGGTATTCTAGATGGAGTCATTGGGAGAATCTCCATTCGAGGCCTCTCTGTTTTGGCGATTTTTTTTTATTCTTGTAATGGTTCTATTAAAGGTTGGAATGTTTGAAACCTCACTTCAGCCTCTAGAAACTTGCCACGTTTTAAAGCTCTATATTTCTCTCGTATTTGATTTGCAGAGTCAACCAATTCTTGTTGAATGTTTTTCATCTTTTATTTACATTTTATTTATCTCATTTGACAAAGGATTGTACTCAAACACTTTATCATGTATTATCAAACAATATGCAGATGTATTTGCTGGCACATTTTCTGCAGTTTCAATCTCTAATTTAATATCAACAATTCCTTCCTTCACTGTTTCGTTCTGTCTAGAACAGTCTATTACAATTAGTGGATATTTCTTCATAAACTCAGCCCTACTAATCATAGGATCTGGGATAGTATTATAGTAAGTCTCTCTAAACCTCATAAATATCTCATAAGCTTTAGAGACATCTCCATTTTCAAAGTCGAGATTTAAATCACTATAAGGATAATATTCAGAGTTTAGAAATACTTTGAGATTTTTTAACTTACAGTGATCAAATTCATCAGTTCTTTTTTGTGCACTATTATCCCTAGCTGTTTGGAAACCAAATATAATATACCTAGGCTTCTCCAAACTTGAAGATGTGTTTACTGACCATGTATGTCTTGTAGTATTGGGATATGATGGAAGTTCATGCAACTCTAAGCTTCTAAATGCAATTTGCAAATTTTTATTTTGCAGTAACATCTTTTGTAATTGTAACTTCTCCCCATCTGATGGTATTACATGTGGCATCATCCATTGAATTGAGTTGAGTGTAATTTTAGGAATCATATCAGCAGTACCACTGGCTGGAGCACTAGTGGTTGTTAATATACAATTCAAATCATTTTTGGATCTTTTCAACACCAATTCTTGTTTGACATTTACTAATACCTTATTAAAATCCTCAAATACACCCAACAGTTTGACAAACATTTGACAATTTAGTTGTTTTATTGTAAGAGCTCAATATTTTCATAAGACTAGAAATTCCTGGGTTTCTTACAATGTCTATTTCTTTACCTGCGACTTCATATCTAATTTCATCAAATAAGAATGCAAATGCATTATTTATAAAATGACCTTTATCATGATTTTCAATTTCTCCCTTAATATACAGATAACTCCTACACGGGAGAGTTAGCAAATCTTGATTATTAATACATATTCGAATTTCATCGGAATTATTTATTGCCAAAGTGTTGTAAGGAACATAGGAGTGATTTGTAATTTTAACCACACTATCGTCGAATTGGGATTTCCCTGTAACGTCTAGAAAA